TCTCTGGTGATCTGTCCGCCTTGGCCTCCCAAAGTGCTGAAATTACAGGCATGAGCCACCACACCCAACCAGGAATAATGTACTTTAAAGCTTTGTTACTGTCTTAGAAAGTTAAAAAGAAGAAGTTTGGTGATTTTATACTTACATTCAATACATACTGATTTTAAGGACTTAATCTCTGTTCCTTTGTCAGAGAATAAACTAATTGGTAGTCTGTAAAAATATATTCCTGGGAGATAGAATGTGAAGTGGGATGAGGTCATTTGTTCTTAATAGAAATCTGCATATTTGAATATTAACATACCTACTCAAAACAGCAATAGAAGAAAATCCCTAAAATCTGACAGATAACATTTTCTAAGCTTTTAAAAGGACACTTTTAGTAAATAATTACAGCTAAATTTCATTCTTCTTTCTCATGAAATTTAATGAGCTACGAAGTCTTTTTGTAGGCTCTCAATGATTAGATTTCATGTTTTTTCCTATATTAGTCCAGTTCCTAGACTAGTTTATTTCTCCGTACGCCCCATTCTTCCGATACGGTTCTTTCTGCTTAGAATATGTCCCCCCACGTGGCCAGTCCGTTCACTTTTGGGAATCTTCCACATGTCCCTGATGCTGAAACCTTCTTTGGCCCCTTAGCGTTCTATGCCACATTTAAGGCACTTTCACATATTCTGTGATTATTTGTACAGATTTTATTTCTCTCAAAGATTTAGGTTTCTTAATGTCAGTACCCATTTCATCCACTCTTGTGTATCCTGTGCCTTGGTGCTCAATAAAAATTTGATGTAGCCGGGCACGGTGGCTCATGCCTTCCAAAGTGATAAACCCAGCACTTTGGGAAGCTGAGGTGGGTGGATCACCTGAGGTCTAGAGTTCGAAACCAGCCTGACTAACATGGAGAAACGCCGTAAATACTAAAAATACAATATTAGCCAGGCATGGTGGTGCATGCCTGTAATCCCAGCTACTCGGGAAGCTGAGGCAGAAGAATCTCTTGAACCTGGGAGGCAGACGTTGTGGTCAGCTGAGATGGCGCCATTGCACTCGAGCCTGGGCAACAAGAGCGAAACTTCATCTCAAAAAAAAAATTGATGTAAGAATGGAATTTTCTAGAGGTTTTGAAGTGGTAGGCATGCCTGAAATATGGACTGGATCTGCTCTTTTACGTTTCTTCTAAGGACTGAAAAAGGAAACAGATTTATATCAGGAGGGACTTAGAGTCAATATGAGGACCACCCTGACACTGAGGTTTTAAAGGTGGGGATGTGCTGTGTGAGGAAGATTAGTAGCCTTATCTGCAAGGCCCCTTCAAAGTAATCTGCAAAATACTAGGGAGAAGTTTGACTAATCTTGAAACATAAAATCGCAACCTACAAAGTGTCTTGGTCTGCTGCCACTGCATTCACAATGTCCCCGTTTGTCTCTCCAGTGTAGTAGTATATCTGTTGTCAGAGAAATAAAAATGTGTGTGTTTGTGTGTTGTTGTTTTAAAGGGAGTCTCTCTGTCATCCAGGCTGGAGTGCAATGGCACGATCTCGGCTCACTGTAACCCCTGCCTCTCAGGTTCAAGCGATTCTCCTGCCTCAGACTCCTGAGTAGCTGGGATTACAGGTGTGCATAACCATACCCTGCTCATTTTTGTAGTTTTAGTAGAGATGGTGTTTTGCCATGTTAGCCAGGCTGGTCTCGAACTCTTAACCTCAGGTGATTTACCTGCCTTGGCCTCCCAACGTACTGAGATTACAGGCATGAGCCACCGTGCCTGGCCTGTGTGTGGTTTTTATACTTCTTTTATGGCACTTAAATCATGCCCTGTATAAGAATGACTTTACATACTTGTTTAGCTCTGTACAGATTAGAAGCTCACTGATGGCAGTGCCTGTGGACATTGTGTTTGCTTACTAGGCACGAGAACTGTGCCTTACCTACGGTGATAGAGATTACCAGCTGCATCACCTGTGACCTCAATTAATGGGAAGCAGGCAGCCAGGCTAACACATTTCTTCACCTTCGGGGTAGCAGGTGCTTCTAAATACGGAGTGAATGGAAGTGCCATTTATTATGCTGCTTTATGCCTCACACCCTAACCACGCTATGTAAGAAGTGGATACACTTAGAGCTGCCTAGGTAGGACAGCTTCCACAAAATCTAAAGGAAAATCCAGTTTTACTCTTTGATGTGATTTTAAATGGACCATGAGGGCCTGGGTTGAAATTACTTGAGGGTCAGCTAAGAAGGTCATTGCAATAAAGTGGAGATAAGATCTCTGCCTTCTGATTTCAGGCAATTTAGTATAAGTGTTAACTCAGCAAGATGAGACAAATAGAACAAGATCTCAGAGCTCTGAAGGTTGAGTTTTATCCCAACTCTCTTTGGCAGGAAAGTTACAAGGTCCCTGGTTTAGTTGCTTGATACCACTGGAGACCAGAAGAGGTGAAACAGCTGGTGATCTCTCAGATGGTAGGCCTGAATAGATGGGCCAATTTCTTCATCT